TGAATCGTTTCAGCAAGGCCTGCCAAGACTTTGGACTAACTATCAGCCTGAAGAAAACACAAGTCATGGGCCAGGGCGTGGACTCACCTCCCTCTATTACTATCTCCATGCAAGAATTGGAGGTTGTCCATGAATTTGTGTACCTTGGCTCAACGATCTCTGACACTCTTTCCCTAGATGTCGAGCTGGATAGACGCATTGGCAAAGCAGCTACCATGTTTTCAAGACTCACAAAAAGAGTATGGCTCAATAAGAAGCTGACCTGATCCAGGTCTATAGAGCCTGTGTCCTGAGCACACTCCTGTACTGCAGTGAGTCCTGGACCCTTCATGCGAGGCAGGAGAGAAAGCTGAACACGTTCCATATGCATTGCCTCCGACGCATTTTTGGTATCACCTGGCAGGACAAAGTTCCAAATAGAGTAGTCCTAGAACAAGCTGGAATTTTTAGCATGTATACAGTACTGAAAAAGCAACGTCTATGTTGGCTTGGGCACGTCGTGAGAATGGCTGATGGTCGGATTCCAAAGGATCTCCTGTATGGAGAATTAGGGCAGGGAAAAACCGCCCCAGAGGGAGACCACAGCTGCGATACAAGGACATCTGCAAGCGGGATCTGAAGGTCTTGGAAATGGACCTCAACAGATGGGAAACCCTGACATCTGAGCGTTCAGCCTGGAGGCATGCGCAGCATCACGGCCTCTCCCAATTTGAAGAGACCCTCATCCAGCAGGCTGAGGCAAAGAGGCAGTCACGAAAGCAGCAAAATCAGGGAGCTAGACGGGGTACAGATCGTATTTGTCCTAAGTGTGGAAGGGATTGTCACTCTCGAATTGGCCTTCTCAGCCACACTAGACGCTGTTCCAAGTCCCCCATGCAGAGCATGATACCATAGTCTCTCGAGACTGAAGGATGCCTATGATGAGGGCCACGTAGTGCAAACCCTCTTCCAAATGTACTGTAGAACTCATCAACCTGACACAGCTAACAAATCAGACAGAAGAACAAATACTTCCTTTTCATGAAAGTTGATTGGAGGGAGCTTTTTATCACTTTAGGAAGTGATATACCAGGAAAGTCTTACACATTTGGTGCTGAGTTTCTCTAAAAGTTCAGCTCACAAAAGAAACAATATTTCACTTTGGAACATGTCAGCTGCTTATCATTAGCAATTAAACTCATCTCCTTTGGCATCAGGTTTTGCATCCTTCCTTCCTTTCTTGCTTGCTTGCTTGCATGCATGGTGATATTCCCCCACCCCTTGTTGTCATGCAGATCTACCTGCATGTTCACAGGAAAAAACCAACCTCCTGGTTCTCACAACCCTTAAAGAAGAGCAATGGGTGGCTGTACACTGTATGTCAAGCCTTCTAGCAGTGAGGTAGGACAGCTAAAAAGGAAATTTAAAGGGTTCATTCTGTTTGACTCAAGATTGCTAACTCTGAAATTGTGACAAATCACTGGCATGTTCCCTTTGAGAATATTGTCGGATGTGACTGGAGAGCAAGCTGACAAACCATCAACAAATCAATTATGTAGAACACCTCTGCAACCAGGCGTGATGTATCAAGGCCAAGAGGCACCTGGTCAGTCTCAAGCTGACTATTACTCTCTAAAATCTTCATTAGTGGTTTTGGAGGCAAAAAAAAATACATTGCTGTATCGATCGCATTTGTGGATCAGACAAGAAGTGCTTGTGAAAACAGCAGATAAATGGAATCACTTAGTGATGGAGAGACCTCCGCCAAATGGATGAGTATAAATGGGATGCGATTTAATTTAGATACAGTAAATGCAAAGTACTCTATAACAGCATCCAGCATGAGAATGCATAATGAAAGAGTATTACCTTGTCTGTAGGCAATACAGAAAAAGGATTGGCTGGAACTGGAAAGGAACATGCTGATAATAACTATGAAGGACAGTGTCCATGAGAGTCACAGAGTCTTCAGTGTAGTGTGTAAACAGAAATGAAATGTGTGAAACATGGAGGCTATCTCATTGCGTATCAGAGGAAACCTGTCTTTGTGTCTTTGTCAAATGGAAAGCCAGAGGAGAACAGGCATGGTGAGGTCACCATCAAGTCCTGAATTGTATATGGCTTTATAAGTCGAATTACGGATGGACATCATTTCCTATTTAAGATAAGTTTATACTGGCCTTCCTTGTGGATACCAGAACTAGGATACAATATGATAAACAATAATGCAATCATCCCCAAATGGTTCAGAGGCAATTGAAAAAAAACCCAGACTGAGCGATATCCCCACTTCAGAATGTATGGACACAGATCTCCAAACAGCTGTCCCAAATGCTGGCAATTCTCCAATCAGGGGATCTGGAAGGAGAAAGAATTGATTCATGGTCTTACCTGGCCTTTTCCTGAAGCAGCACTAAGCAATACTCAAGTCTTGACATTTGCTTACAATCCTGGTGCTTGGCAGGGAGGGAATCTATGATAATGCTGGGATTAAAATTCCCTTGCAGGTGAACAGCTATAATTTAAACAGCACGGTATCAACAACATATGTTAATTATGTAATTTGCTTCTGGGAACCACAGAGCTTCCCTTGATGTTGTTAATCTCTTCTTATCAGCTCAACTCCTTTCTGTCTTTCTTAGGATATGACGGCAAACTCCAAAAGGACAAGAGCATGTCCCACGAGCCTAACAAGACACAGCAATGCAGGACAGGTGCAAGGTAGAAAAGACTTCCATTTCATGTGTTGATTACATTTGTAGCTCATTTCTCCTTTAAAGAACTGCATGCAGGATAGGAAAGGAGCATCTAGCCTCACAACAAACCATGAAATGGGCAGGATTGAGAATGACTTGCCTAAGGGTACCTGGTAAGCTTTATAGTGTTGACCTGGGCCTCTCCATCCAAAATCCAGAAACCAAGTTACACAATCAGAAGCAGTAAGAAGTAAAAACAGACAGTACAAGGCCATTTCAGGTTGTGGGAATGAAAGTTTTGTATTTGAACACTCTTGTATCAGAGGAGAAAAATCAATACACACAAAAATTCAGAAGGGGAAAAAGATTCAACTAACATAGTTTTCTTTCTGATGTCTGGTTGTCTCTTCATGCAGGGGTGTGGTGTGATTTGGTTACGGTGGTGGGTGGCATGCAGGAAAGCTGAAGCACTGCCTCTGAGTGGGCTCCTGTGAGATGAGGTGGGACTGGGAAGTGTTGAAAAATGAACTGGCATGAACCATCAATCAACCATTCCAGTAAATCTAAACTCAGCCTTCTGGGAGCAGCAGCTCTAATCCCCCAAGGTACATTTTCCAATGTCTACCTTTCTCCATAAACCCCAACATGAGACCCTCCAGACGTTATTGGACTCTGCCCCTCATCAGCTTTGGCAATAGGGAGGAATAATGGGGACTGCAGTCCAGTAACATCTGGAGGGCCATAAATCCTCCCTCCCTGTTTCTGAGTGAGGTAGGGAAGATAGAAGCATTTTCCATGCACAGTGAAATGGCCCTTGCAAAGCAGAAGGTCAACAGCACCATCAGTTGCATCAAAAATAATAAAACATGGGTTTTGCACAACAGGCTCTGCTCTAGACAAAACAACAGCAAGGCTCCCATTGATTTTTAGGAGAGTTGAATGACTTCTACAGATGTGCTTTGAGAATCTCCTCCTCGTGAAAAAAAGAACCACACTTGTAATCATGTGTCGTATCAATGAGAGGAAGTGGTAGCTGTGGCATTGCTTTTGCCTGTTTTATTTGTTTTGTATTTTCATTTTTTTATGAATGACTTCTACAGATGTGCTTTGAGAATCTCCTCCTCGTGAAAAAAAGAACCACACTTGTAATCATGTGTCGTATCAATGAGAGGAAGTGGTAGCTGTGGCATTGCTTTTGCCTATTTTATTTGTTTTGTATTTTCATTTTTTTCTGATAAGAGATAAGAATGTCTTGTTTTTAAGGCAAAAGGGAAAATGTTCTTCTCGTCCAGTGTTCTGACAGAATGGTGGCAGCAGGTTAGAGGGAGGAAGACTCTTTAAATTGGAGAGATCATTATCTCAGCCAAGTAGGAATCTTTTATTGCAGCAAGAGAATGTGCTCCTTGCTGCTCAAAAGTGCCCGGCTGGGAAAGATCTTATTTGTCTGTAACCAGAGTGATTAGGAAAGAGAAAAAGTTGAGCTGTAGCCCCTAATAGCAGCACTTGTAGCCTCTAATGGCTGCATTCTCTCTCTCTCTCTCTCTCTCTCTCTCTCTGTGTGTG